AGGAATGCCACATGAATCCACCCTTCAGATGGATTGCAGTGTTGCTACTACAGCAAGTGACACACTTCCAATAAATACATTAAGGTTTTTAATGCTGCACTCTCTCACCCCAATACTAACTGAGAATTAAGGATGAGGAGTCGAGCATTAGAGAATTAGGAGACAAACCTCACAGCCTCTGCACCCTCAGCTTGGAACCTGTCCCTAGAAATCCCACCCATGGGGGCCATCCTCATCCAGGAGTGCCAGGACAGAGATGCTCTTGGAATGTCAGGGAGGAGGAGGAGGCGGCAGCGGTGGCTGTGTGCAGGCTCCCTGCCTTTCAAGCTTAATCCCTCTCCCAGAGGAAAAGGAAGAACAACACACATTTGTGGGGAAAAAAAAAAAAAAAATCCAGTATTTGACCGAATGCATTAAAACTCCTAAATAAGCTGAATTTAGGGAATCAAACCACTTTCGAGGACTGCAGAGACTCAGGTTGCCAGCACCTGAAATCCCTGCACTGTTAACCACTCATCTTTAGACAGCAATACCCCCTCCCAAAAGGGATTTATGGTCTCTTTAAGAGACTCACAAGTGTTCTGGGCCAGAGTGCGGACTCTCATCCCCTGCAAACCTGCCTCTTCCAATAGGATCCACAGGTCCCTGTGGAAAAAAAACCCTGCCCTACTCTGCGGTGACGCCAGCGCTGTAAAAGCATCAGCTGGCCCACGCGCTGGACGTGACGCACAGGAGACCTGCGGCTAAGGGAGTATTTTCTTCCGTGCTAACAGGTTTTCAAGTGCAGCTTAATCTTTCATGAGTGTTATCCTCAAGTCTCCTTGTATTCGGATTTCTGAAAGACTGCATCTGATTTTGGAACTCAGACATCCAGCTTTCTGCATTGACCCGCTATCGCCCACAACGCTCCGTCCCAAAGCTTTATTTATCGTATTCCAGCCTGCAGAAATCTCTATTTGTAGGGATACTGATGGGAAACAGCTTTTCCATCTAATACAGTCTTCGAACCAGACTGTACTGATCCCATTTGGTTATTTAAGATCTCCCAGGTCCTGTGCTATATACCTAGGAGAACCCAGATCCTTGCAAACCTCTGACAGCAACCTCACCACCTCAGACTATCCCATTAAAAACCCAAACCAAAGAGGACTGTACTCTTAGCACACTTGGTACAAGCGTTCCTGTAAACCTTGCCATGTGGCAGCAGTCGTGATGGAGATGAGCAGGCAGTGGGCTATGCCATGCTCCAGCACTCATTTCTGGCATCTTTTCTGCTGCCGTGGCTGTCCAGCAGATGTTAAAATCAACATCCCAAACACCAGTAGCTGGAGAAACCCCATGGGAGGTCTTATACACAAGATCAATTCCACTAACGGAGGTATTATAGCCATAGAGGCTTTCTGCAGCTGACCCAGAACCACTTTGACAGGATTTCATTCTGAACTTCAGGTTCACCGAGATCTGAAAGACCTTATGAGGAGTCTGCCGATATACAAGATTGGGGATTCAGCAAGCACAGCAACTGCACTGGGTCAGGGACTGGTTTCTGGAGCAGCTACAGCTTGTCCATCCCATCTTCCCCTCCAAAACAGGAGCAACCAAGTACCTTAATATATCAAAGTGAGCACAGCAGGTCACTGCTGCCCCACTTCTCCCTTGCCCTTGCTACCCAAAGAGACAGAAGTGGCATGGTGTTGAAAGAAGGGAAGGGAAAACAACAAACCCAGAAGACCGCTTTCCTTTTCCACGCCACAACTGACATAACCCCCTCCTTTCTCCTCCATCTTCTGCTTCTTTGCAGCACTTCAGCTAAAATGAACTCTTCACATACAACTCTCACATCCCTCTTCTGCTCAAGTGCCAGGATGACAGACCAGACTGGTACCCCGTCCAAATTTAAAGCAGCTCCTTGCCCCTGAGGTTGCGGGCTGCAAGCCTTCCCTTGGTTACGCCAGAGCTTTTTGCACCTTTATCCCCCCCCCGGCCGTCGCAGGTTCCCAAAGTCCTCCAAAAGCTCTTGCTGCACAAGAGCACTGCAGCAGTGGTTTCACAGCTGAAGAGGCAAAGTAGTTTCCTCAAACCCCACAGCGACCCCAGGCAGAGCCAACGTAGCCTTTGGTCTCCACATCTGTACCTTTATCCCTAGCTCATCTTTAAAAGCTTGATGCTTTAAACAGCACCCAGAACAGAAATCCCAAACACTCGGAGCAGCATGAGAGGTAAATCCCACAAGCCAGCACTCAAGCAGATCTCCGTGCACTGTTTCGGGGTCAGGGCTGCACAGTCTAAAGGAGGCACAAAACTGCAAACCGCACACCACGACTGAGCTTTTTTGCACCCCTTTCTATTATTCCCATGCCTTGCCCCAAGCCAAGGTCAAGCGTGCACGGCCAGAAGGGCGAGACGAATTAGAACGGACTAATTTAACGGCCTTAGAAGCAGAAAGCATGCCTACCCGTAGATATCGAGCACACCAATGAAGGAGTGCTGCTTCACGGTGGTGTGCAGGGCCTTGTTGATGTGCTGCACGATCCAGTTGAAGAGCTGGGCGTAGATGTGCTTGGCCAGGGCGTTCCTGGCATTCACTACTTGCTGCACGGACATGTTCTTCACATAGGTCTCGGCCATGGTGACGAGCTTGCGATGGCAAAGCCAGTGCTGCATCTGGCTGTGCTCCACACCCAGCAAGCCGCAGAAGTTGTTCAAGTGCTCGTCCTCGCTCTGGGGGGGGTGGGTGGGTTACAAGAAACAAAGTCAGCAGGTGGTGACATCCCAAAACTGGAGTTTTAACACCGGGTTCCCAGATGCGTGCAAGAAATTAGCAGCGTTTCATGCCTATCTAGGGAAATACTGTGCATCTCCGTGGTTGATAGGAAATGGAGAAGCGATGAGCACTCATCCAGTTGCGCTAGTTTTTATGGACGTGGATGAAATGGCTCACACAGAGCTCTAAATGGTGGTACGCCTTACAGCTTTCCTCTGCTCTGGCTATCCTTAAGGTCTTGAAATTCCCAAGAGCAGATTTCCAACAGGAAAAGTGATTGCCAACAGGAAAGAGCACTCCCCACTTTACTCCTCCTTGAGCTGCAGCTACACGTTCCTTCACAGCAACCTTGATTAAGCCTCAAATTAAAGCTTAGGCTATACCATTACACCATGCCTTTTACAAAACTAACCCCATTTTGAATAACAAAGTTGCAAAATGTGCATTACCAGAAGGGGTTCTGTTTTGCATAATCAATAAAATGAAATGTGAACTTCATTTTCTCTAGTGCATTGTATTTTTTCCCCCTCAACCTAAGACAAGGCAGTCCTGAGTCTCTATTATGCTAAGATAGCAGGCATTGCCTCTTGGACAATGAGAAATCAATTTTCCTTTCCTCAGTGTAATAACACATATCTAAAGGAAGTAAATTGTTTCCAGTTAGATACATGCTTATATAGAAGCTGGATGGGTTTGGGGATGGAGAGAAAAATGCATTTTAAAAGACCTCTAGGGTGCTTTTTTGCTCCGATACCTTTTTGACCACGGATTCAAAGTCGTAACAGGATTGATTTAATACCATGCAATTACATTTGAGGGTAATTAAACAACATGAACTCCATTACAGAACTCAACATTGTCGGAGCAGCCACTTTTATATAGCCACGTTGCCAAATATCAAGCAAATTACCCCCAGCATCCAACTAATTGCACACCACATCATCTCAAGGGTACCACTAGAAGTGTGCACAGAACCCATTTTAACACTTTAATTAGGAACAAACGACCCAATCTGGGATGCAATGATAATTGACAGGACAGTATTTTCCACATAATCACTTTTTTCCCCCCCCTCAAACAAACACAGAAACAGAAAAACCACCACTAAGGCATCTTTAGTCTTATTTATTCTTGCTAATTAACTGTGCAGCGCTCTTCTGAATACTGGATGGCCACGTTACAAGCAGCAGCCTCATGGCTTTGCCTGTAGCAAAGCAGTTGTAGAGCATCACACCTTCTGGTGGTGGGAGTCACCGTTCTCCCAATACTCGGTGCACCAAGTCTTTTAAGAAAGCAGGAAGAGTTAAAGATGGGTTGGGACTTAAGGTGGTAAGTGACCTCTGAATCATCTTGCTTATGGGCTGGCAAAAGAGGAGAAATAATGCACTATTTTCCAGGAAAAACAAAGCAACCAGAAAATTATTATGTGGGTGTTTGGTTTTTTTTTTTTAAAAAAAAGCTAAGAAAACCAGAAGGAAAAGGGCTTTCCACCAAGAATACTGCTGTGAAGCTCAACACATCCAATGTGGCCCAATTTACAAGTATATAAAGCTCCCCACGTGCCCCACTCGTGCTGGTGACCTACCGATACGCTACAGGCATCGCCATCTCGTTCCCCTTGGATTTCCAAGTTCCCTAGGTGCAGAATGGCAGCAATTATCCTAAAAATGGTCGTCTGATGAGACTCCTTCACTCCTATGGGAACAATTGATAGCTGATTTTCACAACAGAAAACAAACTGCAATTTTCAGTTCATTTGAAAATGCTTGCGGTGTTTGATTTCCTTCCCAGGACGTTGGTTTTCAGAGTTATCAGACCTTTCCCAATAAACTCACCGTAAACTCTCAAAGTCATCACTCAAAAATGACAGCTGAGACGGTGAGAGGAGCTCCTTGTGTTATTTCTTGACCCCTAATGATTGCATCAAAGCAATTTTATCACACATGGGTTTAATACTATTGTCAGTATGCACAAAACCAAGGATGCTACTGCGTAACGATCAAACAGGATCGGAGCTATAGGGGCTTTTGTAGAACAAGGAGTCGCTTCTCTGCAGTTGTAGCCCAACAGCAAGATCTCACTGACAACTGAAGCACAGAAATTACAACTTATTGCCTGTGTCCCACAAACAGAAGAGAAAATCAACGCCGTGCACATGATGCACAACGCCTCCAGACTGGGGCTGCAGCAAGTCACCAGGGAGGTGATGTGAAGCTTCGCCTTACGGTCCCCAGTGTCTCAACAGGAGCTACGTGTTGTGGGTCTTCACTGGGGGGTGCAAGATATCATTGCTTTATATATTTTTTTCTGGCAGGCTTTTGCAAGCATTCCCAGCAGGAGGTTTGCTCAGCAACAGCCTGCACACAGCTTTCTTGCCGTATCTTGCATTTTTACATCCCAACTGGGCTTCTGTGCCCCTTTTGTGTTCAGTGCTGGTGTCCTAATTATCCACCCAAGGTCTAAGACATCACCTGCTGGTTTTTGAATTATCGAGAGCTTCCCTTTCTTTCTCTCGAGACTTTTCCGTTATCAGCACAGTGAGAAATGTTTCAAGGTTACTAAAAGGAGCAATGCTCTGCTGTTACTTGGCACTCTTAATTGGAGTTAAGCCTGGCTATGGTGGGGATTTGCAGATAAACCTGAATTCTCCTTGATACACATAAAAAGGCAAGACTATAAAGTGTAGTAGCAATTTCACCAGGCCCTGAACAGAAGCAGGCAGGAGCTGGGAAGCGCTGAAGGAAAATGAGGAAAAGCGGGGCCAGAGGAAGCATGCGGAGAGCAGGAAAACATCATTGAATTGGTAGTGGAGGAAAATGCTTGCACCATGCTTCATAGGGACCAGCAAGGAGACAGGGGGTCTGCTTGGGGCGGCAGAGAAGGGGACCAAAGAGAGACTACAGGTGCCAAGGAGAGGGGGAGAGAGCTCCCTGAGGATTAGAGTCCTGTGGGAACCAGTGGAGTTATATTTTTTTTGAGTAGTTAACAGTTCAAAGTCATAAAAGCCAGACAAAAGGAGGGTAAAGACAAGACCCTGCTGTCACCCCAAAGAAAAAAGGGCCCACCTAAAACACACAGAGGACAAACTTGGGAGAAACATTTGCAGTTTGCTTTTGAAATGAGTCCCCACGCTGACTGCCGGCACAGCACAGTAGCTGCCATACAGCTGCTCGGGGGCATTTCACAGCTGGCTGCCAACTGCATCACGAGCTCCTCTCCCAACATATGAAATGCAATGGAGAGGCACCAAGATTTACCGGAATTTAAAACTTGGCTTCAGAGAAATATTAATAAACTCTGGGGAAGTTTTCCCCTGCAAAAATTGTTTTTCCTTTCAAGCAGTCGCTGCTGCAGGCAAGCTATGGCACTGTGTAACCACAGCGTGCATGGGCGGGTGTTGCAGCTGTAAATTTTGCAGCAGGCCACGCAAACGTGGACTCTGCACAGCAGGGATGTACTCAGCTCATTATTCCCAGGTATCAGCTACATGGTACAACACTGTGATGGCCTGAGAAGTGACGTCACCCTCAACCCAAATCCAGAGTGAACTGCAGAGTAATAGCTCCTTTCCTGCTTGTAAATAGGGTTAAAAAAATAGCAAGTTGAAGCTGCGGCACAGCTTTGACTCCAGAATGGTTTATTTTAGTTTCTCTTAAATTCAGTGTCCTCCCTCATTTCATTGCTACCTCACAGATAGCTGCAAGAAACACTTCTGCAGCTCATACTAAAGAACAAGGTAAAGCCAACTAGGTCAATAGGAAGATGGATTTATACCTCTTAGTGTTACAAGACAGCCACGTAATTCAGACAAAATACCGAAAAACATTTGCAAGAGATTTCTGCTGGGAAGCCTCCAAGCAGAGCAACCCCTTACCAAGCAGGGTGAAGGCGTGCCTGGTTTTCTCAAAGTCATCAGCGTCATCCACGCCATCAATAGACGTGTCACCTCCCTGAGAAGTGTAGAAAAAGTCTTCGGCGCATGCTAGGAGAAAAGAAACAGAAGAATTCTGTCAGCAAGCAGTAGCTTTCCGGAGCGTGCACTGGGATGCTCCCTGTACCCCATCCTACCCACCCCTGAAGGGCAGCCGCCTCCTTTAAACTATGGTTTACTTAGAAATGAAGTATAACCTTGATAAATGACTGTTAACTGCTTCTTGCAGTGATGAAACCTCTTCCCCACGCAAAGCAAGTTCAACCAGGGCAGAGCTGTGGTCTGTTTAGGATTCAAATAACTGCCCTATTGCACAGGTGCATATTACTTCAAGTACTGAGGGTTACTACTTTCAATCTTTTTTTTTTTTATCCTGTTTTACACACTCATGACCAATTCAGACATTTTAAATACCTTTCCCACATAACACCTTAAACCCAGGGAGCAAAGGGAATGGAGAAACGATTGCAGTGCCAGCATTACACCATTTAAGCATCCATGCTTTAGGGAAGTTATTTCAGGACGACACAAAGCTAAATCCTATGGAGACTGAGAGGCATTTCAAATGCAGATACAACGCAAAGAGATCACAGGATTTATACCCACTTTAAAAAGCTTCACATGCAATCACCCTTCCTTAAAACAAGGGCTTATTTGAGGCCAAAACCATTAAGATATAACGCAGGAGAAGGCTTGGCGAGCCCAGGAGGTGGACAGCCTGCCCATCCCACCCAGAATTGGTTCTTAGCACTGGCTTCAACTTGTTTCAAACCAGGCAAGCTCAGAAAGATCGTTAACACGCACAACCATATTTCCCAAGTATCATGAAAATAATGAGAAAAACAGCCTACTGTGCGTTCTACATCAGCCTGCTGGTAACCTTTAAAAAAAATCACTGCAATCTGCACTTTTTTTGACTCACATTGCCACCAGAAGGTCCCCAGCCCTCCCCAGCCCTCCCGCAGGCTTTTGCATTAGCTGTACTTTCAGGCTGTAAGAAAAACATTTAATTCTTTTTGGCATACAAAGCTCTAGGACCTGTAGGTTTCAGTAACTCTGCTCACTGCCTGAGCATCGGGAACAACGAGAAGAAAATGCCGATTGGGGTCCGAGAGCCGGTGTCCGTCCTGGTCCCCCCAGGGTGAGCAACTGGAGCTCACCCAGCCCATGATGGAGCACACTGGATTAACAGCTTGATGCTGCTGCAGGTAGCATCCAGGGCTGGCAGTGGTTGATAGGGCCAGGACATCAGCCTCCAATTTTAACCGTCCACATTGGGATCTGTTTCTGCCTCAAATCATCTCTGGTTGTGGTGATTTGACCCTGGCTGGACACCAGGGGCCCACCAAAGCCGCTCTATCGCTCCCCTCTAACCAGACAGAGGAGAGAAAAAGTAAATCAAAGAGCTCGTGGGTCAAGATAAAGGCAGTTTAATAAAGAAAAAAAAAAAAGCAAAAGCAAAGGCCGCACGCGGTAGCAAAAGGAAAGAAAACAAGATTTTATTCTCTACTTCCCATTAGGAGGTGGTGTCCAGCCACTTCCTGGGAAGCAGGGCTTCAGTATACATAGTTGTTCCTCCCCGAAGGCAAAACGTCACAAAAGATGAATGTCCCCCCTCCTCTTCCTTTTCCCTTAGTTTTTATATCTAAGCTGACGTCACATGGTATGGAATATCCCTTTGGTTAGTTTGGGTCAGGTGTCTTGGCTACGTCCCCTCCCAAGATCTTGCCCCCTCCCAGCCCACTGGTGGTGGTGGTGGTGGGGAATATTGGAGGCACAGCCTTGATGCTGTTCAAGCACTGCTCAGCAGTAGCCAAAACACTTGTGTGTTATCAGCCCCTTTCTACATACCAATAGAAAGCACATATCTATGCTGCTCGACCCAATACACTGGTATAACTGAGTCCAATATTCCTATTTCATTATATGTGCAGTGATTTTAATAAGCACAGAAACCCTTTGATTGAAACCCACTGCAAACAAATAAAACAGATTCCTGCTTTGCACCACTGCCCAGGCGTCATTAAGTTAGACACCACGCTTTGAAAGGCACCACGTTGCACACCGACTCCTGCGTTTTAAGTCAAATATTTACTTTCTAGTTTAAAATCAAGCTTTTAGGATTGCTCTGACAGAAGAGCCAACACTTACTGGTTTGCTCTGCTGGGCTCACCTAAGTTTAGAGACTCTCTTTGTTTTCCAGCATTTTGCAATATAAAAGAGAGTAACAAGGATTCTTTGTATGTGTAAGACCCAAAGGAGAAGCAAGGGCTCCTACTTTTGTTAAGGAAAAATATACATTGTCCTCTCTGCCTAATAAAAAGTGGATTTTCACATCAAGATTACCCCTTGTTTTTCTGTAAGCCTTGGGAAGACAGGGTTGGCAGGTACAGTAAGGTACAGCTCACATGAGGAAATAAGTTTGAGTTTTGACTAGTCATCTCGAAATGCAGGCTCGTAAATCTGATGCAAAGTTGGCAGTGAAAAAAAATCCCGCATAAGGAAGAAAAGTAAGTGAATTGTGCACAGCTGCACTCGCAGAAAACTGCCCAGCACTATAATTCAACAGGTTAAGGCAGAGCCTGGTTCACCCCAACAAAAGCAGCTCACAGTGCCCACGTCCCCGTCCCCACCGAGCACGTGAGCAGCACCGCATCTGCCAGCTAGCAAAACGTTCTGGGGAGGTATTTTTAAGCTATTGCAAGGTGACAGTGCAGGAACCACCAAAGATGCAACACCTTAAGTTTTGGAGGGAGTTACTTCTTTTTCTGTTGTTGCATTTTACCCAAATGCACAAGCAGCAGGCTGTGTGGCTACCTGTGCCTCCTGCCATACAGCAAATGCACAAGCACCACAGAATCATAAAATCATAGAATGTTTTGGGTGGGAAGGGACCCCTAGAGGTCATCTAGTCCAACCCCCCCGCAGGAGCAGGGACACCTTGAACCACATCAGGTTGCTCACAGCCCCATCCAACCTGGCCTGGAATGTTCCCAGGGATGGGGCC